CAGTAGACATTTATCACACTATGGCCTTTAGGCTTGTGTCCCAGCTGCCTCCCCTGCCTGTATTGCTGATGGCTTCAGAACCTGGGATCCCTGACAGCCTGCAAGACATGCAGGCATAGGAGGGACAACGTGTGAACACTCTGCAGTGAGGAATTCTTAGAACTTGGGAACTAGGTATACATTTTAAGTGAGTCCTAAAGCCTCACCTCCCCCCATTTGGAAAAGCAGAAAAGTTCATTCCTAGGAGAGTGGATAGTTGAAAACCAGGGTCCTGAACTATAACATACACATGAGATCTGTGCATTGCCCTGTTTGCACAAGGTCGACACACAGGATCAGTTGGAGTTTCTGTGAAAGCAGAATTGTGAAGTCAGGGAAATGTGCCTTTGGTTCTCATCTGCTTCTATTTTTAGGGCTTCTCTCCTTTTGTCTAGAGCCCCTCTGCCACCTCATTTAAGGTTCCATCTCTGGGTCATGCTCATAAAGATCCTATTGAGCTGTTTATCCAGGATACACTAATTCCAGGAGGGATTACAGGAAAAAAAAATTTATAACAGTTATCTCTTATGTGAAAAACTGTTAGGGGTCAAAGGGACTGAGTGTCTAATAGCAAAAAAATAAAAAAGTGGGGGGTGGTAGAGAGGGTGGGAGAGGGGAATTTGGGAGCAAGGCAGGAAGCAGTGAGGTCTTATAAGGCACAGATCTCTACTTGAGATCCTTGCTCTATGGTCATACCACCCAGGAACAGCAGGAAGGCACCAGAGTCCTTAGGCAGAACCCTGAGAGAGTGTTCAGGCCTCTGAATTTTGTGTGGGCAAAGACACCCACAGGGCCTCTGAGTGTGTGGTGGATGGGTATCTGTGGGCTGTGTCTGTGTAGCACTCTGTGGTCATCCTGGTGGTGCCTTTTTATGGGAGTGTTTATATAGAAGCTGCAGGTGTGATTCTCATTAGCCTCTGTGACTTTTTACAACTATTGTGACTGTGACTGCCACGACTTTAAATCCACACCTTTCATCTGTTCTGTGCTTTATATAAAAACATTTGGGTAATATGTACAATATACTCATTTATGGCTTTAAAAAATCTATCATGAGGGCTGGGGTTGTGGCTCAGTGGTAGAGCGCTCGCCTTGCATATGTAAAGACCTTGGGTTCAATCCTCAGCATCACATAAAAATAAATAAGTGAAATAAAGGTGTTGTGTCCAACTACAACTAAAAAATAAATACTTAAAAATATCCATCATGTATGTAGTACTATACAAAGCATTTTCCTATTATCTTTTTTGACTCTCCCTTTTGCACTAAGGTTTAAATAGGGTAAATTGTTTCCCCCATTCTACAGATGAGGTTCAGATCAATGATAAAATTTGCCAACATTTATACAGCAGCCTGTACTGATCTGAATTTGTACTCTAGCATTCATAAGTTTTATTTCAGAATTGACTGGACACCTTGTTTCCCAGACATAACAAGGTTCACCTGCACAGATGGTGCTGGTGCTCTACAGGGTACAAGCTCTTACGGATGGGTCACAGCAGGGAATACATTGGGCACCATCCCAGCTGATACTGAGCTGTGCATATGTAGGCAAAGGAAGTCTACTGGCTATCTTTTGTCCTCTTAGTTCATCAAAGCTGAATATCAACATTTATAAAACCAATGTAATTTGTAATTAAAGAGAGTATAAAATACTAGCCATAGATACTAAGGTAGTTTAAAAGTTAAAAATGTAAATCAGATGCTACCATTAAAGTTAGCAAATAAAGATCTTTATTTAATATGTTTGCTCTATGAAAGAGTTTATGCTTCATTAAAAAAGAACAATAATAACCTTTTAGCTATCCCCATCTTTAAAAGAAAAAGGAAGAAAATGTTTGCTTATTTTCCTAATTTGCATTTAAATAGATTCCTTTAACATTCACTATTTATTAAAAAGCACGCTTGTATATATTTTTACTGAATTTAAGCCAGCATAAGAAAATTACTTAGCTTAGTTAAAAATAAAGCATAAAAAAATCTCAAGTACTTCACATATAACATCTGTCTTCTTAATGAGACAAAACTATGTTGGTTTCAGACAACAAGATTCAATTTCATTTTTTAGACATGAACTTTCCTCTTGAAGAAATTTTTTGGTTATATTTCAACATTTGTAGCATCTCAAAAAAGAGAAATATATCCCAAAAGTTGAAAACACTATGAAGAATTATTTTAGATTTGTTTTTTCTTTCCAACTTTGGGTCAGCCTAGTTCAAGGTCTTCCAGTGAGCCAAATTCAAATAGATTAAACCATCAAGTATCCCAACTGGAGGGAGCTTAGAAAGGGTCCACTTCTCTGTACATTAGCAACCATAGAGCCTATGCCCAACTCTCCTGCTCATTGATTCATCCTTTCAGTAAGTATATGTTAAAAAAAAAATGGAGCTGTTTGAATTGGTTGCCCTGGAATCCTGTAGCTCTTCCTGATGGGGTAGCAGCAGAGGCTGCAGTGACACAGATTGGTGAATGGATGGCCCCAGGTGAGGAAGAAGGCTTTCCTTGACTGAAGCACAACAGTGCCTCCCCAGCCGCTTTTGGGAGGGTAACTGACTCTGACTCAGTCAGAAGAGGTCTTTAACAGCCCCAAGAGCAGGAAGCCAGACAGTCCTAAGAGCCTGGCTCACAGACTCTGTGATTGTGGCACTGGGTAGAATGAATGAATCGAATCGTAGGCTCTGGGCTTCTTGTCTCTGAACCTCTTTCCCTGTCTGTGAAGAGGGCATGATAATACCTGTGGGGGAGCTGTTTTGAGCATACATGTGTATGGACATTTTGAACTTAAAAGCACGCAACAAATGTCAGGGCAAAGACTAAGAAGGTGCTTTCTCTTGCTATAAAACGAAGCCAGTTTTCTCACTGACATTTTACCCCCTCAAAATTGGAAATGTTGTAAGTTACAGCAAGAAACATACTTTCTGATCTAGGAGACTCAATAAAACTTTTTTATTTTAAATGAAAAAAAAAAACACCCCACACATCTATAGGTTTCCCAACTAAACCTATTATATGCCAGGGTACTCACTATCCCTTGCAAACCAGGAGCAGCCCAGAAATGAAGTGACTTGCCCATGCTGTCATGGGGAATTGGTGACACAGCCAGGCCCAGAATCAGTCTATTTCTCATCTCACTTGACTGCACACATGTGTCTCTGTAATCTGTTCCATTGAATGCAGAAATGACAGTGACCCTTGTGGACAGTGGGTCTCCCAAGGATGGGAATTATATACAAGTAGGTAGCAAGTGTATATCCAGAGAAGTCTTATAGTTGTCCCTTAGGAAGCAGTCATCTTGAAGAAACCCTGATCCTGATATTGTATCACAGGCTATCAATCCCCAAAGCAGGTCTTTTTCTCTCTGCTTGAATCGTGTGCCACTTTTTTAATAGTATTACCTCCTGAACATACAACTTTGTCAGAATGCCTGGCTACCAGTGAGCAAACTCGTGTGCTCCAAAGTAGAACATGGAACCAGGTGGGATGAGATGGGTGCAGACCTCTTTCTGTAAGGAGCTGATGCAGTGAGGTGTATGGTTTCCACTCCACTCTCTCCTGTCGTTGAGTTCATTTTGCAAAGCCTTCCACCTCACTTGGCCTGTGTCCAGCCCTCCCTGCTCTGTAGTCCAGCAGGGACCTGGTGCCTAGCAATCTAATCATTCTGGTGCTAGCCCATAACTCAGCTGCTTATTTGCATATCTAAATAGTCATTTAACAGAAAATTCAGGGAAGGTCACTTCTGGGCCAGTGAGATATCCAAAAAAGGATATAGAGTGAGTGCTTTTCATCACAAGTTCCAAGGACTTCAGACATTTCAGATTTTCATTAACTTTATTGATTCTTTTGTCAATAAGTAAAAGTGATGAGAAATTGTTTTGAAATGGGGTCAGGAGGCAGGGTTTTAAAGATCAAAAACCACAGAAGGAGAATGCACTAAACGCCTGAGGCACCTGTCTTCCTTTCCCCCTTGTCCTTAATACTTAAAGAAAATATAAATCCCTAACCTAATGCCTGCGATATAGCTTGGCTGTGGCTGGTGGACAGTGAATGGTGTATGCAGCACAGGAATCGACCCAGCCTCTACTGGAGACCAGCCTGGAACAAATCTTCTGTCAGGAGAAAGTAAAGGATGATACTTTTATCCTCTCTTTATTGTCAGTGTAGATAGACAGAAGTGACCTGAGTAATTCAGGCGGGAGTAAAAGGGAGAAAAATCTCCAAATCATGCACATTCGCTTTCAGAAAGTGATGTTTTTATACCTAGGCATGAGTTGTTACAGCCCTGATGTCTCTCTCTGACCTCCAGACACATAAATATAACTGTTTACAGGACACATCTGCTGAAACTTTCATAAACCTTTCAAACCCAGCGCATCCAAAGTGGAACCCCCTATCCGCCCCTCCTCCCCCACTCAGCTTTTTAATTCTTAACTTTAGGCAGCCACTCTGGCGGGACCGTTAGCTGCAAGGTGCAGGGGCCATGCTAGAACCTGGCAATGTGTGTGGTGGGACAGAGCAGCATGGAGTAGGGGTATGCCAGGCTGCCCCTATTCCTTCCTATGAGGGCTTCTCTCTCCTATTAGTGTGGTAGGGAGTGGATTAGGCTTCTCAGTTTGTCCCTACAACGTCTGTCCATAAAGCAAGCATGGGGCTGCTTTGAGGCTTTCCAAAAGTTTTCTAAGGGCAGGAACTGCAGAGACTAAACAGTTTACTCCCTATCTCCCTAATTCCCTTACTCATTTTCTCTTTTACACTTTGGCTCTGAAGAAGACTCAGAGGTGGGTCTTTATGCTACAAGTGAGGGGTCTCCTGATCCACCTGATGGTAGCCTGCCCCAGTGCTATGAGTGATGTTTGGGTCTCACCAGCAAGAGGACTGTTTCTTCCCTTTCAATAGCTTTGACCGGTTTGTCCTGTTGAACTCCTAACTTTTCTGATTACTCTACATCTTCTTTTCCCCTCTAGATGTTCGACTGGATAAGCCACAACAAGGAGTTGTTTCTCCAGAGCCACACGGAGATCGGAGTCAGCTACCAGCACGCCCTAGACCTCCAGACGCAGCACAATCACTTCGCCATGAACTCCATGGTGAGCTAGGGGGCTGTTCTCAGCCTGCCTTTGGGGTGCTGGGGCAGATCTGGATAAAGAAGGAGGAGCTTTGAATTGAGAGACTCTCCAGCAGTCCACTCGTGAGGATGGAGATGTGTGTAAGGCGTGTGGCCAGCCAGCTCTTCCTGGAGCAGAGTATAGAGCTGACATTACATTGTGAAAGGAATGTGCTTGAGGTCCTGGGAGGCATTAGCTCAGCATAAGACTGGAAGAAGGCGAGTCACCAGTTCCACTCTGCTGACTTCGCTGACATTTATTGGTCCCCAGCATGTGTAAGTTACTGAGCTGTGATGGCAAAAGGCTGTGGCACATAGGAAAGGGTTGAGTAAGTTGGGGCTGTTTACAGTGGGAAGTTTGACACATGACTGCTGCCTTCAAATATTCCAAGACCTCTTTGGAGAGAAGAGAGTAGTGCATGGTGGTCTAGGAGGCAGGGACATCCAGGGCATGGCTATTTGAGGAGGAGGCAGTGTGGGGCTGCTTGGGCCAGAGTGGGATGCAGTGAGAGTTAAGGAGCTCTCTGTGATGGGAAGTGTTTGATCCTCTGCAGAATTCAGAGAAGGCCATTGACTAGCTTGTGGCCAGGGAACCTACCTCTTTGTACTTCAGCTCCTTATCTGTGAAATATAAATAGTAGTAGCTATCTTAGAAGGTTGTTTGAAGATTCAAGGAGTTAATTGTAAAGTAGTTAGGCTTGTGCCTGCCACATGATAAGTCACAGTAAATGCTGGTATTATGATGCTGATGAGGATGTAGGAGTCAGTCTGCATGACATATGTGAAGCCTCATAAACTTAATACTTCCAGGTACTGTTTTTTTCACATGGATGCCCCCACGGCTTTATTTTGAAATCCTGTCTGCTCTTAAAGCCATTGTATTACAATGCCTGCAGCCTAAATGTTCCTGGATGTACCCACCAACCTTCCCCTGCCATCTCTTCCATCTTGTTCTTTTGGTGCAAAAGAATAGCTCCATCATTCCCCATGTATCTGAAAATCCAAGACACCTTATCTTTGCATCACCAATGCAGATCAGGTGTTAAACACAAACCCAGAGAATTGCAGAGGCCAAGAAGGAAGAAAACTCCATTTTCTACCAGGTTGATTTAAATATGCCCTGGACTTCACACACTGCTGAAGAAATAATTCTAGCCTTGTTTTCAGTGTCTAGTTGGAGAGAGAAAAATCCAGGCAATCATGATGTAGTTTGATATGTGCAATGATAAAATTATGCTGTTAATTAAGAAACTTAAAATCTCAGCAGTTGAAACCAACAGAGGTTGATTTCTTGCTTCTATCACACAACCATCATGAGCCAATGAGAGGTCTGCTCATCACAGTCACCCAGGGACGGGGCCTGATGGAGCAGCCCCCATTTCCGATGCTGCCATTTGCTTTGCCAGACAAAGCATGGAGCCAAGCATTGCAGGTTTTGAAATCTTCCTCTTAGAAGTGACACATCTGCTCACAATCCACTGGCTTTCATGCACATTTCATTGGCCAATGCCAATCACACCACCACATCTAACTCCAAGTGGCTAGGAAAATACAGTCCACCCCATATTGGCAAAAGAGCTCAGTATAGTTATGAACAGCTCTAATGACTAGCATCACCACAAAAGGTGTTAGGTAGAGATGAACATCATGGGATTTGCACAGAAAGATCACTCTGGCTGCCGAAAAGATTGAGACTAGACAGGGAAATTATAGATATTGTGTTATCCGTTTTGGCCACAGCAGTCTTGTGTCTTCATCTAAGTATAGAGACTCATTCCCTTCCAACTAGTTTCCTATAATTATTTCTCGTTTTTGGATCTCTTCAGTCACAGAGGAGAAAAACCATTGATCACAGGTGATTAAGAAAGTGAATTCAAAGCTAGTCAAATTTGATTATTTGTATGCCTTGTAGATTCCCCCTGATGAGTTTCACAAATTCTGTGCCAGAATCTTCACATCACCCAACTGCCTAAGGCAAACAAACTCATTTTAACAAGTAACAAAGCAAACATAGTTAGGGAGGTAAGTCTGCCCCCAAGCCCCTTGAAACAATGTACTACAGAGCTAAGTGGAAAGAGCCTTGGCTTCGAATTATCTGCTCTCTTATGTTAGGATGGATAATTGAGAGTGGAACATTGGAAATATTTGCTTTGACAAATTTACTGTTACCACTTCCATTTTTAGGACAAAAATGATGGAAGAAATTTGTCGGAAGGAAGTATCTTCTGGAACTAATGGCAAAAGATCTAATACTCAACAGCCAATTAGCACGTTCTAGACAATCCTGGAGCTTCCCTCCATCATGAATGCTTGTTCTCCTCTCCAGCTGTAGGGCAAGTGAAGGGAAACCCCATGGTTGTTTGAGGAAATTGCCTGGGCTCCTTTGTTTCATAAACATAGCTCAGTGCCTTTGTTAACTGGGAAGTTTACTGGTTTGTGGTTAAAATGAACTTCCTACAAAGAGGGATGACAGCATCCCAAACAGGTGAAAGGAGGGAATGACAATCTCCTTTTCCCTGGCCTGAGTGATGAATGTTGCTGCCAAGAAACATGAATGTGAGCAGCTACTGCTCAAGCCCAGTGACTACAGGAATGATCAGTTCTTTAGGGAAGGTTGGGGTGTCCATGGTTCTGCAAACTCATTGAGGCATTTCTGTCCCTGTTCTTGGAATTTATACACAGACATTTACATAAACCCACACAGCTGTACACATAAATAGACATGTAGCATGCTTTGTTTCAGATGATTTCCTTTCTTTAATCTTGCTCTGTGGCTGAAATAGGTAAGTGATTTCTTATTTTGGGGGGCAGTCATACTCCCCTTTGACATCTAGTGTTGAGGGTTCTCTCCTCAGATAAACATATACATGAACAAAATCATTTTAGAAGCGTTTAAGAAATATAAGGGAATAATAATAAGACCTACCAGTCAGTTTTCCCAATTTAATATCTCAACAACCTCATGACTTCTTTTTTTGCTTATTGGACAAATAATTAAGGGTCAGACAAATTGTGTGGGATGTCTGGCATAAGGTGGTGAATGAAACAGAAGATTTTGTCCCATGGAGTGTTCATAGACAGGAAGATGTTATATATATAATCTCATAAATAAATGCATATTTACAAACCAGTAGTCTTATGTCAGAAGAGTAGGAAAGGTTGTGACAGAGGGTAAGAAAAAGGCCAATGCTGACCAGGGGCCAGGATTGGGTACCTTTTTCAGTTAGCAATCAGCACTGAAGAATGCTCATTGTTCATTCATTGATACTGATGAACAATATGTGAATCAACTCTATTGTACCAAAGGACTTACAATTTAAATATATCTTGGGAATACCAATTTGTAAATTAAAATGATGAGCTTACAACTTACCTATTTTTAAAATATGTATTTAATTGTAGATAGACACAATATCTTTATTCATTTTTATGTGGTGCTGAGGATTGAACCCAGTGCCTCACACGTGCAAGGCAGATGTTCTAACGCTGAGCTATAGCCCCAGCCTCTTACCTATTTTTTTTAAGTTTTGTTTTTCTGTGTTCGGTGTTTATAGACTGGTTAAAGATCCAACTCTACCTAAGATCATCTCTAAATGCATTATTCTGTTAGGGCTGCCGAACAAAATACCACAGTCTTAAACAACATAAATTTATTTTCTCACAGTTTTGGATTCTTGAAACCCAGGATCAAAGCATTGGCAGGTTTGGGTTTTCTAGAAGCCTCTCTCTGGCTTGCAGATGGTGGCCTTCTCACTACATGGCCTTTTCCCTGTGAGCTTGCACACCCCTAGTGTCTCTCTGTGTGTCCTAATTGCCTCATGTTATAAGGATGCCAGTCAGATTGGATCAGGGACCACCTAAAGGCTCCATTTTTACTTAATTACCTCTTTAAAGACTCTATTTCCAAATGTAGTCACATTTTGAGGTACTGGAGATTAAAGGTTCAACATATGATTTGGGGATGAGAGTACAGTTCAGCCTATAACACAGAGAAATAATTGTATGCCATTAAAATTATGAAAGAAAATCAGAAATTTTCCAAGTTTTATTTATGATTGAGTACAACAAAGCCCACCAACTCTTAATCTACTGATAGTGGATTAAGGCAGTGCTCTCAAAAAATGTCCATGGGGATGATCTAGTGAAAGGCAAAGTGGGAGTGATACCCTGTTCTGTTAGGGCTGCCTAACAAAATACCTGTTCGGTATGTACATGAACAAATCTGGAAGAAACAAATTAAAATTGGTTGATCTTTAGATTTTTGTCATAACGTGTTTTTTTTTTTGTAGTTCCCATTGAGAAATCCTATTTTTTAATTAACAACAATAATAATAATTAATAATAATGATACCCACCTACTAAACCAGTAGAAAATATCCTCTAGCTTCCTTCAGTGCCTCGGATAGACAGGTTTCCTGAACACTCTGGGGCCCTCATCTTTCTTAATTCTGTCTTCAGCTGTGGAAGTCTTTTTCCTAAATTCTTCCCCTGAGTGTGACCATTTCCTCTGAGTGTGAGCAGACTAAAGTAAGTCGGGTTTTAGTATGTATAGAATAGTTATGGAGCCATCCATATTCAGGTTCTTCATGAGAAAGACAGGAGTATGTACAAACAGCACAGCCTTATTTACAATTTTAATTAGCTGGTTCTTTGGGAAAAAATAAATTGCTAATGGCTCCTGACTGGAGTTTTAAAATATGAAATGGTATTCATTTTCTGCTATTACAACTGTGAGGACTCACATTAGGGATGACAACGTGCAGCTGGGCAGTGGGCATCCTTTCTGCTGTGGCATGCTTGATAGCTGTTTTAATCCTATTAATTTGTTCACCAGAGGCTTATATTGGCTCTTGATGATGTGCAAATCAGACCAATTCCAACAAAGACTATAATGTTCTCTCTTTGTTTTGAGGGAAGGTTACAAATGGCAGCACCAAAGAAAAGTCAGATATGGTACAAAAGAAAAAAGATTCTGAGACAGGC